CACCACACACACACACAAACCCGATACACAACAACTGTGTTAAATGGGTGACGGTTTAAGGGGAATTACTTATTTGAAGTCAAAGGGAGCAGAAGAAGCAAGGAGAGGAATGAAGAAATGACACGAACGTTTATGGAGAATCAGGAATCATTCGCACCCCCAACTAGCTGCTTACCTCTGATTTCCTCCATTCCTCAGCCAGCACAGCACCACCACGTCTATAACCACCATCACCACCGCCACCAACAACAAAGCAAATCTAAAGTATGACTTGTTGCCAGGAATGGGGTGTCAAATGAGGTTAAAAGACTTTGGACAGCTGTATCAGTCGAAATCTATCAATGTATGGATCTATGTCGTCGACTAGATTTTGTCAACATTTTTGCATACCTCCATGACAAGTTTTGTCAATGCAACGCGAAAGTCGTTCTGTCTGAAGGCCCAGAACCCCGTCTTCAGACATTTATAGGTGAACTCATGCATGCATCTATGATGGCTGCTAGATTTTGTCAACATTTTTGCATACCTCCATAACAAGTTCTGTCAATGCCAAACGAAAGTCTTTCTGTCTGAAGGCCCAGAACCCTGCTCCCAGACATTTATAGGTGTACCCTATCTTGTTATCACCAGAGAGCTCCAGGTCAGACAACTTTTTAGCAAACATGTGTTTTTGCAGTTCTTTTTTCTGTGTCGAAAAAATACAGACAAATTAGTTGGATCAATGAACTACTCTAGCTTTGAATTTTTTGGATCATTTGGATCTTCTCTTTTGGACGTTAATCCACATTACAACAGACAACATAGTATAGGGGTTTTAAGGTATCCATGTTGGGTAGGAACAATGCATTTTTTTTTTTGTCAATGAAGAAAAAGTAAGAAAAATCTTTATAGGAATGCTTTTCGCTTTGGACCCGGAAGTTGTTTTTCCACACGACTGACGTCACTCTTAAAAGTTCTATTCAACTGGCATCACTAAAAAGCACAGTTAATACAAAATTGAATATGCTTAAGAGTTACCTCTTCTTTTGTCTCGAGTTCTGCACATGCAAATTCAAAGGCCTCGTCACAAATTGCCTTTTCATCGTATCCACTTTCCTTACAGTGCTTTCCTTGTAACATCAAAGCAATGGCAGTAGTTACAGCTACACACGAAGCAATACATCTTGGGTCAGCATGGGTTACTTTACAGATCTGCCTCGTGTTTTCGATAACTGTTGGGACATCACCGAAGTCTTGAATGCCAAGAATAGATGTTCTCATTACACCTCCATTGGGTGCCGCCCACTTTCCGCTGTCAGCCCACACTTGATGTGCACACTAAAGAAACATACTTTAGGATCAGAAACAAGAAAAAATTGTAAAGTAATGGTGTCAGGGAGCGAGCACTGGCCTCCCACTTTTGTGGCTTTTTCTTTCAGCTGATTATTTTAAATTTTGATTGACACTAAGCTTCACAATAAAAATTAACAAGTAAAGTTTGTTACATTATGATGATTATGATTGATCAGTATCATAAGGCTCAGTTAGGAAACGTATATGTGACAAAACAGATTTGGTTAGCCCACCAAGACCATGTCCCTTGTAATCCCTGAGTTCATATTTGTATCCATGGAGGACCCATTCCTTAAACCGGGAAGCAAAATCCACGCAATCTGCCTAACAGAATTGGAAAGAAGCTAATCAAAATCACTTAAAGATAAATATCTTGCCTTGTGAGGGTCAGTTAAGAAGTCCTTTTGTAAAACAACATTGAATGTTGTTCGTCCAATTCCCATCCCACCATGGTCGCCAAGCTCTTTGTAACCAGTTTTTGTCCAGACTTTAAACTTTCGTACAAAGTCAAGAATGTCTGCCTGTACAAGAGAAAAAAGCAAAGGACATGAAAAGAACCCTGTGGAACACCTCATGTTTAACTGTACCTACACAAATAAAGAAAAAGGACTTAAAACAGAACTCTATGGACACCCAATGTGTAATCGTTTCAATCCAAAACTAAAACTACTTTTGCACAAAGTCAAGAATGTCTGCCTGTACAAGAAAAAAAGCAAAGGACCTGAAAAGAACCCGGTGGAACATCCCATGTTTAACTCTACCTACACAAATAAAGAAAAAGGACTTAAAACAGAACCCTTAATGGGACACCCAATGTGTAATCGTACCATTCCACAACTAAATGCAAAGGACCTAAAACAGAACACCTGGGAACACCCCATGTTTAATATTGCAGCAAGACAACCTGCATCTAAATGCAAAGGAAAGAAAACATAATCCTGTTCACCCCATGTTTACATGTATCTACCAATAAGTACATGTAAATGAAAAGGACCTAAAACAGAACCCTGTGGAACACTCTATTTCCAATTACCCCAACCCATATCTACATGTACTTGCAACATTGTTTACATATTTTGTGTATTTATACCGTATCAATTGAAACTTTACTGCGTTTGCCAAAGTGATCAGCAAAAGAATGGTGATCATAATCAACAGTTATTCCAACTCATACATCTTTTTTAACATCATTATATCAATCTTTATTTAATACCTTTCCTTTGTTGTCCAACAGTGTTCTGAGAATGAGAATCATTTGATCTGAGTCATCTGTCCAATCACCAACCTGCCAGCAACTGCGATGAAAATCATCATATTTCATGGGGTATTCCAATTCCAGGTTCTTAACTGGTATACTCTTTTTGGACTCCATGGATCCTAGAAACTTTCTCTCTTTGACTGTGCAATAAATCTGAAATCAGGCAATWATAACAAGACTATAATTGATTCAATATGTTCATTGTATAATAGAAAACTGGGAAAACTATGAATGCGATACCAATCTGGGAACAAATGTCATTCAATTATTAATATGTATAGGAAATTGCATGATATTGAGTACAATTCAGAATTTATAGTTAGGAGTGATAATATTTTGAAAGTTATCAAAATTGGACAAGCCTTTTAGGAAAGTCCAATTTGATAACTTTCAAAACAACATGTGTCTATAAATTTTGAATTGAACGAGAAAATTGTGTGATTTTTTGTTTATGATACACTCAACAAATTTGAGGAATTTTAAATTGGGACTCTACAGAGTAGAATTTCGGATTTAATTGTACTCCTCTTATCCAATCAGAGTCAAGTAATTTTGTTGAGTGTAATATAATAAATAACAATCGTACTTAACAGTGGTTTCACAGAGTGGCTCTTCTTCCCCTTATCTCCAAATTGGAATTTAAAATTTGATTTTTGCTGAGTGAGGAAAACCAGAATAACCAGGGGAAAACCTTCAAAGAACAGGAGAGAACCAAGAAAAGCATGCATGGGGGGTTACAATTGCTCTTGCTGTTCCAGAGTAAGATTGCTCAAAGCCATACCCTGTTCCAGTATTGCAAAAATAGATACCCTGTCATAGAGGAGAGAGTGTGATTTCATATACCCTGTCCCAGAGCGAGAGTAATTTTATATACCCTGTTCCGGAGTAGAATCGCTTAAAACCATACCCTGTTTGGCAGCACTTACCCATATAGCAAATATAGGGGAGACCCCCCTGGTGAGGCATGCAAGCACTATCACCCCTATGCCACCCATTCAATCCAAGTACAGACAACAGTATAGAGCTCGTTGTCTGGATGACATAATAATGAAAACAAATGGACAAAATTCACGTAAACGTAGACATACCTCTAGCGCTTCTTCTTTTGTCATAAACTCAGTGAGCAATCCTATGGCATCTCCAATACAGTTGCCATAGATTACAGCCCTCATGCGACTCAGTAGTACTTCTTTTTCCAATCTACTCTCCAGATGAAAAGCCCTTGAAGGAACTTCATTTGTTGCATTAGATGTTTTCCCACCTTCTTCTTCTCCCTCTTTGTCCGGTGGTACCC